GGGAATATATACATCATTTGCTTTTGCTGTAATTTTCAGAAATGGATGGAATTGGGGGGTTGGAAATATAAGAGAGAGTTTAACTCGGCCTCCGAGACGATGTTTGCTCATGAAAGGATCCGAGACCGCGGGCTCCCGCGTTGCCAAAATTGCTCCACGTCCGTGGAAAAATGCGGAGGGTGTCTTCCGCCGAGTCAGACACTTCGGGTGGTCCTGATTTTCCCGTACGGACCGGCGATCCGTTTCGTCGATTTTTCGTGACTGCGTTTTGCGCAGGAATTTGCCGTCGTGTGCGCTTTCACGTTGACTGCCTGGCCGCCCCCTGTGCTGGCTTTTCTGCGTGTCTAGACTGTGCGAGGTCAGCGAGGTCAACGTAGGGGTTCCGTTTACGTGTTCTACTCGGCCGTTCTGCAAAAGCGTTCACCAAACGGTTGTATGGGGTGACCTTGGTAAAATATTTTTTCTCCATGGTGCGTGGCCACCAAGTGTCCCTATTCTTTCATATGCTTTGCTTGCCGCCCCTGCGCTGAGTGCAACGAATACTCAGAATGACTACACATTCATGACATTAGTATGCCTTACGCGGTCTGACCAATCGAAAGTCTACACTGCGTAGTACTTCCGGGCTATGCGTAAAACCGTCGATGGCAACGCGTACTGCAGCCTGCTCCACACCCTGGAAACGAGGTTGGGTCTGCGGTGCTCGCTATTTGAAGCGCAAGCATGTGACGTGATATAGTATAGTGCTCTGTTGCTTCCACACGTGTGTTAATACAGCTCCATGCTTCCACCAAGGCTGAGCGTTGTGAGTTCGCTGCCCGCCACGTATAAGTGGTATAATTCAGTGTTGCGTTATAATTTCGGGGGCCTGTTTGGGATCAACGAAGGATCGATGCATTGCTTCAAATATTGCGATCTTAAACGCAGTCACAAAAAAATCGACGAAAAAGTGTCCGACCCGGCGGAAGACACCCTCCACATTTTTTCCACGGACGTCGAGCGATTTTGGCGTCGCGGGAGACCGCGGTCTCGGATCCTTTCAGGAGCAAACATTTCCCGGAGGCCGAGTAATTAAACCCTGCTCTTATTTAGATGGTTGAACCAACTTGAATAAAAGTTGAATCGACTTTTTCCTCGCAGACGGTCTCGCAAATTATAATTAGAAGTTCAAGTTTACGTTTTTTGAAGAGTCCAATACTGAAACTTAATTATGACCTTCCTCCATCATTCAGACCGTTTTTAATTTTATGGTAACACTCAACATTTTCATTTCAAATGACACCTTCACGTTTTATTGCATTATGATTTATTGTCAAAACTGTACAATCAGCCTTCGCCTGTGTACTACAGTAACATTTTCATGTTTTCCCAAATGCGACTGCCTCACAAAATGCCAATACAGACCAACAGGAACATTTACAGGCAGTTGCCATGGTACATAATTATCATGTGAAATCGACTGGGGACAGGTGGAACCCACCCGCACCCCCCCCCCCCCCCATTTTAAAGCGGGGGACATTGTTTGCCCCCCCCCCCACTTTTTCTTCCCCGAATAACAATTGTAGCCTACAATAATGATTCTATTGTTCAGAAAAATGTAGCTGATTCAATCACTCCAAACTCAAAACTTTAAAAGATGATCTTTTGCTCAAACACGGTTTTAGTGGTCAGAAATTGTCTCAGATCACACCACAGAAATTGCTTTTCTATAACCGCATGTCTCCCCAACTATATCCCCCATTTACATTTAACTCCCAACATTTTCATCCCCAACACTACGCCCTACCCGATCTATGATCGGGTAAATCAGCTTGTAGCAAATATAGTTACATTGACTTTTTTGAGGTTTTGGGTTCGAAAATGCTATAAAAACCAAGAAAACAATCATTTTCCTGTAGTCTGGTTCCCTGACTCCATTTAAGAAGAAACAGAGCAGTTTACATACACTGGGGAATTGTAAGGTCAGGGAACCAGTCTAGCTGGCTTGTACCCGTTCATAGGTGTGTAATGGATTGCAAACAAGTGCGATGGTCAACTGGGGCCAGTATTTGAAAAAAAGCCAGTTTTTCCAACGCTGGTCGGCCGATCAGCGTTGGAAATTGATACAAAAATACCACTTTTCTTGAAAATGACAGTATACCAGGTGCCATGATTTGACAGGATGCTTTACACTGTCATTCACTAACAGTCCAGCAAGGTATTTCAAAATGATTTGGTAGTTTTATTTTTTGATGTTTGCAAATGTTGTATTTTCCCTTTAATGCAATGGTTCACTGAACACTGTTGATGACACAAGTCTGTTGTTGACAGTGGTGTGTGCAAGATCAATGACAGGAGCCCTCTTGTGGTCCAACTTGTCCAATGAATGAAAACTGACTGCTGGCATGTTTTGAATTCACATTTTGAGTAAACCCCCATAAAAAAAACAAGTGATCTACGGACTGCATGTGTCGCCTTTTTCCGCGGACAATCTCTATAGTTATGTTCTTAAAAAGAGTGAAATTTTGTGCATTTTTAAGTGATGACATCCAATTTTGGAAGTGTTGTTGTGAACCCCCACCCAAGGATCACTCTAAGTTACATGAAACTCCATCAAATTCTGTCGACAAAGAAACATTTGAAGCATATTTGAACAATGACCTCTAATGACCCCTACATGACCTTTGACCTCAGTAATCCGACGAAGAATTGTGTCTTCCCACCCAAGGGTCACTGCATCTAAGTTTCATCAAAATCCATGAAAGCATGTCAAAGTTATACATTTTTTTTCAAAAACTCAACTGAAACTTTACCATGTATGGTCATCCCAGCAGATGGGAGTTCTGGGGTACTTCCATTGTTGTCCTTTTATTCCTTTTCTTTAGAATATCACCTCTGGGGTACCATTTTTCTAAGGGTGAGTAGTGGGGTAGCATTGTTCCCTAAACTTCCCTTTGTATGAGTACCCCACAAGTAGCTGTCAGAAGTACCGACGTACGGGTCTACGGTCATACGATCATACAGAATTTAGGACTAGTTGGTGTCTCCCAAAACTTCATTTAGGCGACACAAAAAACAACCTTATTACCAAAATGATTTGTTAACTTAGTTTTCAAGGTTTTCTTCAAATATTCTAATTTGATGGATTCTTGCTTTTGTGAAAGGGGTTCCCAAAATCTCAATGTGGACCGCGGTCCGATTTTGAATAGTGGGAAAGGTTTAGAGTTGATTTATTATGAGTCACATACAGATCCTAAGTTACAAGACATGCAGGAATTAATCCTGATCAATTCTGGCACTTGAGTTGCCCAAGCCAAATTGTAGGACTAGAGAATCTTGTTATTTGTAGCTCACTACCTTTTGTGCTAATAATGTACATCCAGAGATCAGCTTTCTCATTCAAATGTCTCCAATACAATTTCCTTTATCTCTAACTCATGAGTTTGGACATTCTGATTACGGGAAATGGGTCATTTAGGAGACATTCCCGTAGTCTTGTGCGCAAAATGTTTCCGTCTTTAATGTCAACTAATCCCAATTTTACCTTATCCTACCCCAACGAATTTCGGTATATTTATGTCTTGGACCACGAGCAATCGATTTAGACTATTTGCGACAATAAAAATTTGCCTCTAAATAGGAGCTGTGGCATTAGGGAGACCTTGGAATGTCTCTCTCATGTCCGGTGTCTCCCTAAGGTATAATTAATGACGACAAAATGTCTCCCAAAGGTATCATTAACATGGTTTCTTTCCCCATTTTTTATATGAGTGTTTTTAATGACTTCTAGAGGTTTCCTTAACAACTACATAACCAAGAAGAGCTGCTGTACATAAACATGATCTGGTACACGGTACCCTGTGGAGACATGTGCACAGTAGGGAACAAAAGATTGTATATGTCTCCACAGGGCAATTTCTATAGATGAACACGTCTCCACAAGGTTATCACGAAAAAGATATATGGATTTTACTCCAAAATTAGGAATTTCCAAGGTGTATTGATCCATCGCAAATTGAAGTATATTATGTAAGGGATGTTAAGTCCGAATTTCAGCCCAGGAAATTAATTCTGGTAAAAGTAGGAGACTTTTGGAAGTGCACTTTCAAAACTCAAACATTTTATTACACAAGAACAAAGAAATGACTCCACAAGGATACAAATTCCAGTATGTATGTACGGTACATGTATGTGTCTGTTTCCAAGTTTCTTGTTTTTTTTGCTGGGCTATTTTACAAATGAACAAACTTATTTCATCCAAGTCAAATGGTTAGATAGTCTGGTTCCCAGACCAAAAGATTCTGACTATTCCTGATGAATCTTAGGTCAGGTAGCCTCCGGTAATACATTGTATTACAATTTAAGTCACGTGACTAAAACGGGAGGAATTCCTCCTTTTTCTGAAAATTTCGAAAGTTTACCGAATTCGTTTCGTCGACAATCGGATAGTGCCCGAGTATTTCCGAGTATAATATAGGTTTAATTAACTGCTGATTGCTTAGGCCTATTAAATATTTTTTTTAAAATGAGTTGATAATTAAAATTCATTGCTTTCATTCAGAAAACTTGAAATTCAACGAAAATTTTGTGCATCAAATATACTCAGATTGTATGGGCGAATTTTTCGCTGCGTCATATACAATTTTGAATTTGACGACCGTTACTGAGATTTTCCAAAACTCGGTCTTCATTCGGCTCCGCCTGCTAACAGTGCTAATTGGGTGCCGAATTTGGAAGATTCCAGATCAACATAAGTCAATGTTATCTTACAGAAACATCAAACTGTATTATCATAACTGTATGATATTACGAAGCAAGTGACTTATTTAAAAATTTGATCAGAACATTAAAAGCTAAAAGTGATAAAGCGAAATCTGAACCGAAGTCGAGCTTTGAAAAAGGGCCGTCAATGTCGTCATGTTTATTTTTAGCCACGGAGGCTGCCTGACCTACAATTTAGACGTGAGCGTCGGGAATAATTGTCAGGTCTGGGAACCAGACTAATGGTTAGGTTGAATTACCTTGAGTGTTGTCAGAGTCACAGACAGGGGTCTGGCTGCCTGTATCTTAGCATCAGTCTGGCACTGTACAATCTCCTGTATCAGTAAACAAAAAGATCAACAGTTGATCTTTTTTGACTCACACAGATACCTCCTTGATTCTTCATAAAATTCCCCACATTTTGGGAAAAAATCCTGGACATCTCTCTCATCCTGTCTGGCACAGGATGCTGAGAGTCAAAGGAGCACTGTACATGGGGCCAGGGATGTAGACGAGTCCATCACAAGTCCATCACATTAAGGCCTCCAGTCCAAACTCAAATCACAGGCTATTTACATGAGCTTTGACAAAGGCACTTCTTTAACATTGTTCATCCACCGTTTCTTGTGACTGGACTTGTGATGGACTTGAACACATCCATGCATGGGGCTTGATCACTGATGCCCCTTCAAAATTGATGAAGAAGAATATGTACCATTGGTTTTGTGCACAGTGTATCAGGATTTTGGAATATCCAGGGAGATTCCTAGAAAAAAAGGAAGAATGGGCCAATTAGAATGCCATGGTCCAGTCACTGCGGTGGACTTGATTCCAAAACACTTTTAACCCTCTGCAATACCTGCCTTTTTCAGAATAAAATATGAATGTACCGGTATGAATATTTGTTGTAACAAGAACATACAGTTCCCTCCCCCCCCCCTCCCTAACACATCCATTTCCAGGTTAACCTCGGAATAGAAACTGAAAAAAATAGTTGGGTTGTGGGTCATTCCATAAATTTGGGGTCCAAAGTGTCACATTTGTATGTGTCCCTGTTACACCTGACCTGTGTAGTTTTCCATTCAAGTATCATTAACATTGACTTCAAACTATTTTTTAAAATTAGTTTGGCAGGTACTTTGCCAGCTTTACATAATCTCTCTTGGAGATAGTCATGGAGTGTCATGGCCTAGCGGTTAAGAGTACCAGACTCATGCTCTGGTGTTTCAGAGGCAACAGTGGCGTAGGTTCGAGCCCGGGCCCGGACACTTGTGCCCTTGAGCAAGGCACTTAACCATAATTGCTTCGGATGGGACGTTAAGCCGGAGGTCCTGTGTGCCTAACGCATGTAAAAGAACCCAGTAACACTTATCGCTAAGAGAAGGGGTTTGCCCCGGTGTTTCTGGCCTCCTAGTTATACTCTAGTTATACTGGCATCCTAGTTGTGGAAGTCCTTAGGAGAAGAACCAACCAAGTACAAAGATAGAAGGCATTAAAGAGTGTGTCCTGAATTACAAAATCTTACACATGTCAGATGGAACAGGGACACGACATATTGAACCCCAAATGTATGGAATGACCCTTGTAATACCACATGTAGCTACTTTACATAAAAGAATACATCTAGTACCCTAAGCCCCACCTCTATTAAGTCCTGGTTCCTCTGTTTAGCCTGGTTCCAGTGGTGTGCCACCGATGCACTTAGATCTTGGCTGTCTCCAAGACGTATCTCTGCCTGCCTCAATAACGCCTCACGCCTGGCCAATCTGTTAATGTATCAGCAGGAATAATTCTGTCATGGAGCATACTTTTTGGTACATACTGACAAAGAACCCAAACTTCTTTTCATGAAGGAACAAACGGGAGAATACTTCACCTGATCCGCCACTTTAGAAAGTCAGGCATGCCAAATCAGGCATGCCAAATTGGGCCTGCCAACAAGCTTTGCAACAAGCAGTTCAGGCCGCGCCTGCCAACAAGCATTGAACATGAGACTCACACATTTTAGGTATATTCTTACGCTCTCACGCACACATAGGATTTCTCAAGCTAAAAAAAAGAAAATAATTGACTCCAAACTCAAAATGATGTTTAAATTATTATCTTTTGCTGACAAAAAGAAATGGTTAAAGAGGTCAGATATTGGATTTTTTTTAATAAAGGGAAATAAAGTCCGAAATTGTAAAATGGTCTGATTCCCATCTTGTGAATACGAAGTTACAACGATAATGTTGACATGGAGCTAGACCCGTGAACGTGGCTTGTAAACTACGCCACGCTCTTGTACATGTTCGAACCAAGCGAAATCGTCCTTCCGTGACAAAGACTGAACATTGCCTTACCGTGTGATAAGTATTCACATATCAAGCTTTCTTGAACATGTTGAAATCTGCTTTTAAGCCAAATCTGGCATTTAAACGATATTCGAGGTAAAATCTGGCAAGATCTCGACGTCCTGCAACCTCCTCCTGATGCATGTGATTTACCACGTGATACATTCTGCGGATAATTTGGTATCGCACTGACGCTCCGGGCACTCCTGATGTCCGGATCATAAGTGCGATTCAAAATTATTAGCTGCGTTTATCACGTGGTCTTGTTATTGGCCAATCATATGCGCCACATGAAGCAGACGGGTAGCTCGGAGGGCTCCGATAATGTTGCACGCAAATGACCCTGGGTACTCATCCAGGGTCATTTGTCAGGGTCACTTGTCGGGTTAAAATCTAATTTCTACATGTTCGTATGGGTCTTCATTGATGGCAAATTTTGTCGAAATGACACATCCTGAACACGCGGACAGGCAAATTTAGATTTCTAGGTGAGTACTCAACATCCATACGAAATTATGTATGGCGGATCGATTTCGCTAGTTTCGAAAATACACAACAGCATGGCGTTGTATACAACGCCACGTTCACGGGTCTAGCATGGAGCCAGACTAAAATTTGTCACTGGAAAATGTCTAAGAACAAAAAAACAGTAACTGCGCATGTTCAGTGCATATCCGGCAAGCTAATGGTTACTAAAGGTTTGCTGTCTCCGGCTAAATATCGGCAATCGTGTAGTGTAGGGCCCCTGTTTTGTTTTGATCAAATTAGAGTCAAAAATGTTTTTTATTGCTCAAACATCTGAACCAGAACATCACCTTTACAATCAAAAGCAGACTTTTCTCAATTTTAATGACACCCGTTTTGCAATTTCCCTCAAAAAATCAAAACCCTGCCCTGTATCTATGACATACCGGTTTATTGAGAATGTCGCCAACTAGTTTGGTAGGTCCAATAATTTTAAAGTAGATTTTTGTTCCCTTATACTTATAATAGGAACCGGGGTAATCCTTACTTTTAGGACACCTCTATTTTTTACAAGTTCTGTTCAAAACTGACTTTTGCAGATGACTGTCCAGTACCAAAGTGACTTTTGCAGGCTAAAGCAGTCTTTTTTCTTCATATAAACTCATGTTAGTACTTAGTTGTAATTTTGAAAGCACTTTCAAAGAAAATGTGACTTTCCTACCTTCTTCTTTTTTCACAGTCAGACGTGCATGTTGTAGTTCTCACACGCATGAAAGCCCTACATAATGAATGCCCAATGCTGATTGGCTGCTAAAAAAATAATAATTAAGATGTTTATTTTTTATCAGCCAATCAGCATCGAGCTTTCATTGCATCGAGCTTTCACGTTTGCCATCTTGGTTTTTGCATGGGTTTTTGAGTCTGTTTTCTGGTTGTCATCGTCGTCTTTTACCCCTCAATTTCCCTCTAAAATCAAAGCCCTGCCCTCTTTCCACAAACTTAAACCTGCTGATACTCAAGAAGGTGTCATTGCCAACTGTTCAAATGTGTCAAGAAATATCAGAATGTCACTTTTGAGTGTCATTTAGTCAGCTGTTTTGGTGAGTCTTTCCCTTCCTATATAGGAACGGGGTCCTAAAAGTAAGGATTACCCTTAATCTTATGGTCTGGGAACCAGACTAAAAATAAATAAGTTAGTCTGGTTCCCAGACCAAATGATTCTGACTAGGCCTATTCCTGTATCTTTTGGTCTGGGAACCAGACTAAAAATAAACAAGATGTTTATTTTTTTATCAGCCAATCAGCATCGAAGCTTTCATGTTTGCCATCTTGGTTTTTGAGTCTGTTTTCTGGTTGTCATCGTCGACTTTTACCCCTGAATTTCCCTCATAAATAAAAGCCCTGCCCTCTTTCCACAAAATTTAACCTGCTGATATTCAAGAAGGTGTCATTGCCAATTGTTCAGATGTGCCAAGAAATACCAGAATGTCAATTTTGAGTGTCATTTAGTCAACTGTTTTGGTGAGTCTTTCCCTTCCTATATAGGAATGGGGTCCTAAAAAAAGTAAGGATTACCGGAACCGGGCCCTACACTACACGATCGCCATATCCACTGCCATTATCATTAACCCTAACCGCCCTGAATCCTCCAAAATCCTTTTTGCAAGTTGGAGGAATTTGCAGGATTGAGGTTACATGGCAAAAGTGCGTTGCTGATTTCGGAGTACGCACTGTGTCAAGGTCTTGGGCCGGACCTTGTGTTGTGTATGCTCAGCCATGCATAAATTTAGTCCTTGATTATACTTGACATCCTCCGCACTGCTCTAGCCCCACTAGTGTGGCCGTCGGTATGCTGCGCTGAACCTTTGGCCACACACCGTGGTACCGCGCGCTACTGAGGACGAAGTTTTTCATAAAATTCAGGGCAGTTTCTTACATTTTCAGTTTCTTACTTTCTTATGGTTGTATTCTATGATGTCTCCTATCACTTCTGGGATGCTTAGCATGTGCTTAGGTCTAATGATGTTCCATTTTCCGAGATATTCTTCAATCTTTCTGGAGTCCATATGCACTCGTGAAACGTCTGGTGATGGCAGCCATTTTGAATGGGACAAGAGATGACCTCAAGCTGTGACGTCGCGTGTATGCAAATTGCTTGTCGAGCGCGCGAGGGCGCGAGTTGCAAATGCGACGGCTGTTTCCTGTACCATGCATTTATCGTCAGGGGGCCACGTGCACCGATCTCTATTCAGGATCTACGGCACAGGAAACAGCCGTCGCATTTGCAACTCGCGCCCTCGCGCGCTCGACAAGCAATTTGCATAAACGCGACGTCACAGCTTGAGGTCATCTCTTGTCACATTCAAAATGGCTGCCACCACCAGACGTTTCACGAGTGCATTATGGGCTCCAGAATGATTGAAGAATATCTCGGAAAATGGAACATCATTAGATCTAAGCACATGCTAAGCATCCCAGAAGTGATAGGAGACATCATAGAATACAACCATAAGAAAGTAAGAAACTGAAAATGTAAGAAACTGCCCTGAATTTTATGAAAAACTTCGTCCTCAGTAGCGCGCGGTACCACGGTGTGTGGCCAAAGGTTCAGCGCAGCATACCGACGGCCACACTAGTGGGGCTACGCACTGCTCCAGGATGTCACTGCCTCTGCCTCAGCCTATTGACCATGTTGACAGTCATAGCCGGAGGATTTTGCAGGATTCAGGCAGTGGTCACCCCTCCATGGACCATATTCAAGAAACAACGGAGGAATTTGCAGGATTGAGGCTATATGCAATTTTTCCATGAGGCCAATTGGAGGATTTTGCAGGATTGAGGCTACATCCTAACAAAAAGGCCTAGGGAGTTAGGGTTAAACAACACATGTGCTTACATTTCTTCGTGTTTTTCATTAAGTTCGACTTCCTTCTGCAGCAATCTATCTGCCATGTCTGTGTGTTTATGCTTGGTGTATGCACACTTACAAGCTCAAGATCAAAACATGAGAGTTGGAATAAAAAGACATGATTTTGAAAGGCAGCTGAGCTACGCTTGTGAATTCTCAAAAACTACATCATTTCAATTGGACTGGTTCCTGCTCCCCGTACGTACATAATGCATTGAAGGTTGAAGATTAAGGAGCTGGAACCATTCTAACATTCCTATTACCATCCTGTTGAGGGCGCCCGTCCGACTGATAAAGGTAATACACCAGCAGGAAATTGAGGATGCACACCTGTATTAAAATCCCCATAGACACCAGTGCTAAATGCCCATACTTCAAAATTCTTTTAAAAAATACTCAGAACTGTCACAGGTATTCAAGCTGCACAGAAAATTGATGAGCAACCTTTTACTCTATCTTTTTCAATTTTTGGTTGGTTGACAGTTGACTTTTTGAGAAATTCTCACCCAAAGAAGACGACGCCGGCACCTATTTTCCCCAAAGCGGAAATGTAATCGTCTTGAAAAACGATCCCTGCACAATTAATATGGCAAAATAGCGCCACTGTCAGGTCCAATTGCATCCAAAATCGAAATAAATAATCCTTTTTCAATAGTCATATGGGCGTAGCCAGCGGGGGATGGGGGGGGGGGATTTACCAATATTTTGTAAAGACTGCCCTTTTCTATCCAAGTGCCGTTTTTTTATCAGCGTTTACCCACTGCCCCCAATATTTTGAACGAGTACCCCTTTTTTTAACGAGTGCCCTTTTTTTCCGTACAATTTACCATTTTTTTTAAACCAAAAATTCGTGCCTTTTTTGGCAGCGGCCATTAGGCCGAGGGAATGAAAGTCATAGACATACCCAAGAAATTTCATGACTATAGGTCAAAGGGTTTTGGAATTATGGCTAATTAATTATTCATATGTACGAATGGCAATTCTGCTCTGTATACACGACGTATATGGGAAAATTCAGTTTTCACGAAGCTAAAAAGTCATAACAGCTCGGGTGGCGAATTTTTTTTTTTAGAGGCTATCGCGGAAAATGTTGAGGGGGGGGGGGGGATTCCGCCCCGGCCCCTTTAGGGTTAATGTCTACGTAGTGACATCATGTATAATTTTACCTGATTCTGGTTAGTGCTTCAGAATAATGAATAATGAATAATGAAAAAAAAACTCATTGTGTTTCAAAATCAGCAGGACGGTATTCTATGACGTTCATTCCCTCGGCCCTATTGTGTCGCCCTGAAAAGCGCCATTGCCCGTTTGTGTGCGTAATCGTCTGTTTTGAACAGCGCCCCCATTCTGAAGATGGCCAGCCCCCGCCCTCCCTCGTGGCTGAGCACGTATGTGCGAGTGCCCTTTTCAAAACATTTTTACCCCCCCCCCAACTAAAAATTCCTGCGACGCCTCTGATAGTCCCATACGACCAATCGGAAATTGAACAAAAAACATCAAAAGTATGGCTGCACTCTGAAATCAAAATGTCGGAGCTAGCTACAAAGTTACGAAAGTTACCCTAAAGCGCGCAGCGACCTTAATTAAGATTTTCCTTGGAGTGGAAGAAATTGACGGCAAAAAGATGCAGAAGGACGCCCACTCTGACGATAAATTTCAACCAATTGCTTTTCTGAAAATCCTCTTTAGCCTCTTCATGCATCTGAGGCCGTCATGATTGCATCTGCTGCTGAGTCCCATGAGACTTATTAAAAGAAAGCCCCGTCCCAACACTTACAGTATGAAGGACCTTTTTACACGACATCAATAAGCGAATCGCTGCCATGGTTTTCGGCATCTTCGACTAGGCCGGCTGTGTTTTCGCCTTAAGAGTAGCAATTATTGCTCAACTTTTACTGTAAACATTTCCAATGCCCTTCCGCAAGCGGTAAGCTGTGGGACTGTCTTAAGTTCGCACCTTCGTGCATACTCGAGGCACGTTTTGTTGACTCGGTATCCGAGGGTAAAGGGCCGCCTTGTTTGGCCTCCATTTTAACGGTGCATATCGACTTCAATAATTGATTTGCAGTGAGGATAAGGTTGGACCGGGAACCCCCAGATGGAGTCCTATACAGGGTCGACAGAGATTTCATTTTTAAAAGTTACAGGACTGGCGGAGTTTAAACCAAAAGATAAAAACGGCGAGTTGTCGCCGCTTAACACGGGGGCGTCGCAAAACAAAACAAAACGTGTGCCTGTTGTTAGCGTGATGTCGTAACGAACAGCGCCACCTATATTGCCCGTTGCGGCATAATATGTCAATGTATTCTGAATTGAAAGGACGACGATCGAGAGTTGCCGACAAAAACTACGTGGATGCGCCTCCCAGAGATGACCTTGCTTATAACACCTTAAATAAGACCATGGATTCCTCCATGGTAAGACCCACTCCGCAAGGGAGCATTATAACATGTTCCCCCCCCCACACTTTTGGACCGAAGGGGGGGGGGGGGGAGGCTATTGGATTAATCTCCCCCACACACCTGTTTACGTTATATACGCAGTGTGGACATTCCTTTGTTTTCGTGTAGTTAAGAACAACCTGTGGAAAAAACTCCTTTTACTCACTCTGTGAAAAATCTTTCAAACCAATTGTTTTTCTATGTTTCCCTTTAGTGTTTCTCTTCATTTTGCCACAAATAAACCTTTAGAACCCAAAAATGCCTCTAAACCTGTTTTCCAGAGAGGGGGAAACACTGTGTGCACGTGGGCAAGTCCACACAACGTCGCTGCTACCTGGTTTATGTGGACCTCTTTTGTTCGGAAGTCCACACATTGAATGTAATGCGTGTGCACATTCAGTCATACACGTTAATTTGTTTATGGTGTAAATCGAGGATTTTCTATTGTTCCTCTTCCCTTTTCCTTTGTTTCGCAACAGCTCTCATTGGTTTTGTACGCGTTTTCTAATCGAGGTCGTCCTCGATTTGGTTCCTGTCCTCGATTCACCGATGATGTTGCACGTGTGTGTCCTCGATTTACACCATAAACAAACGCCCACACATTTTGTTCATGATGAGAAGCAAAGAATGAGGATTTTGAGGTATTTTTCGAACTTCCCACAACCAAAACGTATTCAATACAGCACTGAAAAATGCCATTTTGATGTAGGCCTACATGTATTGAGGGAATTAACGTGTTTAAGACCAGCCAGTCGGCGCGGTCTTTATCAACCGTTTCAAACCGGCCACGTGATGGGCTTTCGACCAATAGGAATGAGTAAAATCCTGGAATAGCCCTTTATCATGCTGCCACCATTTCAGTCATGTTCCCTGTATTCAATAACAGTGCTGAATGATAATGTTTTTTGTGTGCAAAAAGGAACAAGACCATTTTCCCTTTCAGCCTCGTTTTGGTTAGGTTGATTTGAATGGGAAAAACCAAAATGGCCGCAACATGATAATGGTCATAGATGCGCCCAAATGAGGCACACAACGCGTTTTAATCGAAATGATGTTAATTGGAAAGGACATGCACAATACTGTGAATATCGTCTTCAACAATAATACATATTGCAGTGGTGATAAAATCAATGGCTTTAAACTGGGAACTAGCTATAGGCCTATGTGGAGGAATTTTACCTTTTTCATTCTCCCCCCCCCCCCCAAATTTCTTCCCTAAATTGTGTTTAATCAAGTCCTGATGATCGATAAAACAAAATTCATCCTTTTTCTTCTCATTCATGGCTCTGGAGGATTCTTTTTACAAGTGAAGTTAAATCCGAGAAACATCCCGTTACCAAATGACGCATGCGCATTATGGTCACTGACTTTATACAAAACTGTACTTGGTTGCAGAAAAAAAAGTACCCTTACAGTCCAAGCTGTCAACGGCTAGCAAGAGAAGTTTCCGCCTACTCAAATTGTTCCTAGCTGTCATGGTGGGTTCGGAAACCAGACTCTTTACAAACAGTTTTAGATAATGAGCTACGTATTCATAGTATTGAAAATGCCATCAGAGGCTTGGCTTGACTTCCTTCTATTTTAGCCAGGGGATCTTGCTGCTGGGAATCTTGGTAGAAGTTGACTCTAATTATATTCAACCATAAATTTGTTCAATTTTTCGCAATCAGAAATATGACTTAAAACTCACATTACGGTTAGTAGTATAGTGACATCTTTTCAAAAATTTGACAAAGTTAGACATTGAAAACCATTTTATTTTAATCGTTGACGAAAAAATTAAAAGTGGCTAAGCTCCATAAGACGAATTTGCGGAGCCTGACGTACGGAACGTTTGACCAACATCTGCTCAATCTGGATATTCCCCAGATTTTGGATTATTCTCGGGTCATCTTTTTTTTTGAACGAAGAAGATATCATTCAGGGACTGTCGAGACAACTTTACTATGGGTTCAAGTATTTCCGTACCACTTGACTCGGGCAGTTCTCTCGCTCTTACCATGGAGCAAGGACCTCTTACACGCTGCATATTTGCTGGCAAGAAAAAAAGGTCCCCCCTGTGCATTCGTCGGTCCAATCTCAGAACGATGCCGAGCATTGGGGCTTGCTTAATGTCCCTTCCGGGAAGAAACCCAAGACATCAGTTCGCGGCACTGATTCCGTGACAGTCGGACCGACGCCTAAATCATCAATAACGTACACATGAGCCAATGTCTTTGCTTCAAAATAAAACGCCTCTTGCAGTATCATCAGAATTTGTCCGATTGGTATACATTTTGACCAAGGTGACAATATTGCTTTGTAATTACGGGCACCGACTGTACCTATCAAATAGGGGGGAAAAATCATATTCTATAGATCTCAGGCGATCGCTGGCTGTTGCAGGAAATTACATTTTGGCCAATGGCACCTGCCATCCGGTCCTTTTAGAAACCTCCAATGAGGGAAGGTCAATCGAAAGACAGTGTGACTTCACATGATGTCTGACGACCGCAAGGAAATGTTTAAGAAACTAAACGGGAGGTCACCAATTGGCCGTGTTCCGGCTGTGTGTATCGCTCTGATATCTGGGTGTTTTTGAGCTTGTTTGATGTAGATTCATTTTGTGCCGAGATGAATAGTTCCAATTTAAGGCCGTAATATCCATTCATGACTTTGTATTAAAGGGAATATACAACATATTTGCTTTTGCTGTAATTTTCAGAAATGGACGGATGAGGGGATGGAGGGGGATTAAGTTTAATAG